TGTTGTATAAAATAATGTAAAATTACAGTTTCCCATATCAAAAACTCATGGTCTATAGGACCAGAAATTTGTTTTTCCTCAGAGATCTTTCAGTGGACTCAGAAACTTAATTTTCTTTGTTAGTGCCCTGGGTTCCCCTCTTGAATTATTTCAGTAGTAACTGCGTTTAGATAACTTTCTGTGTATAGAAAATGACTCTGACTCTGACTTTCTGTAGTAATGCCTGATATTTTGTGAAACAGCTTAAAAATCTTCTCTGACTGAATTGTCTAGTTGAGAGTGAGCAAGCCAGTGCCCAGGCACCACCTGGAGCCCAGTGATTGTTTTTACATAGCTCTTGAACTAAGAATAGTTTTCACATTTTTAAGTGGTTAAAAAAATCAAAGAAGACACATGAGCCTAAGCTGGTTTGCCTCTGGATAAAGCACCAGCCTGCGGACTGAAGGGTCCCAGGTTTGATTCCGGTCAAGGGCACATGCCTGGGTTGCGGGCTTGATCCCCAGTAGGGGGTGTTCAGGAGGCAGCTGATCAATGATTCTCTCTCATTATTGATATTTCTGTCTCTCTCCCCTTTTCCCTTCCTTTCTGAAATCAATAAATATATTTTTTTTAAAAAGAAAAAGACACATGAAATTCAAATGTCAGTGTCTATAAGCAGTTTTATTGGCCCACAGTCATGCCCACTCTTTTAGGTATTGTCCGTGGCTGCTTTTGCATTACGACTGCAGAATTGAACAGTTGTCACAGACCATATGGCTCACAGAAGCAAATATGTACTATCCAGTCCATTATAGAAAAAGTTTGTGGACCTCCTGTGTCTGCATGCCAAAGTTCTGTGACTTGAAGACTTTGAAAATGATTTATATTTTGTTGGGGTAGTAATGTTGTCCTGAAGAAGTTGGACTGGCTTTTCCCCCCAACAAATGTTTCTCAAATGTCGAGTTTAATTAGATGCACAGCTTTTAAAAGATATTCAGTAAAATACTCGATACATGATATGTCTCAGCATTGCTCAAATGGATTTTAGGACATTTCCAATATTTCAGTAAAAGAGTCTAGTGTCCTAAAGCAGGTTGTCTTATCTTAGAAATCAAAACTTCTCTGAATTCAGCCAAAAGAAAACCATTCTCCTTTTCTAAATTTGCTCTAATCAATGTTTGAAATTTTGAGTCCAAGATCTTTGTGTTGATTATTTCCCCTCTCTCCTTTACTCACTCCCCCCTAACCTCTTCCTCCCTCCCAATCTTTCCCTCCCCTTCAGTCTTTCCTTCCTTTCTCCTGGTATCAGAGAAAGAATAATTACCTTTGAAAATTGGTCTAGGACCAATGTGACTTTTGGGCTGCTTTGGATAAGATGATCCAGAGGTCACGTCATTCAGGATCAGAGCATGGGGACCATGAGATTATCTGATCTCATCTAAGAAATGGAGAATAGGTGTTTCTGCACTTGTGAAAATGGAATAGGTTTGGGGGAGGGACTGGTTGACTCACTGTAGTTCCCATCAGCTATTTGACTGTTTAGACTTGTATTTAAAATTCTGTCTCCTGTTTTTAAATTTTTCCTTAATTATATCTTTTGCATGCTCTTTATCTTAATCCTAGGTTAGATCTTTTTTTTTTCCTGCCCACTAAATTTTCCAGCCTTCCACAAAGCTGACAAAATATAGAGAACATATTTCAATTCTTGGAGTCACTTTTTGTATATCCAGCAACAATCCTAAGAACTTTTTCAGGGAATTTAGACTCCTAACATTGTGGTTTTTTAACTTAATTGTAGCTGTCATTGATGTAACTTCAATGTAGGAGTAACTTCTAAATAGCTTTCTAACCCCCTTCCCATTTTGTTCACATCATTTTCCTTGCTGTCATCATTTTGGGTTTCAGAATAAATATAGAGTAAAAAAAAAACAAACCAAAAAACAAATAGAGAAGGCATCCTGTTATGGAATAACAGGATAATTTTGGAAATGCTTGTTGGTGCCTCATAAATTATGCCTCATTCACTGTCCTTGCAACATGATCAGTAGACTTTGAGAAAGCTTAAGAGATTGTTAAACATGAAGAAATTGTGTTGTTGTCTAACCTATAAATGAACAGTATTGCTGGGGATAAGGCTGCAGTTTAATAATGCTTCCATGATGTCGTAGGTTCTTTACACATATTTTCACAGAACTAGAAATTTGAAAATTTTAATGCATATAGCCTTTGATCTTTCATTTCCACCTCAAGAAATTTATCCTTCAGAGATACACAGCCATATAAAGTTGGAGATAGATGTGTGTATTGGGGGAAAGGAGGGGTGGGCACTGCAGCTGTTTATAAGATCAGTTAAAGGGACACAACCTAAATGCCCAGCAGTAGGGCAAAACCAGCCAGTAAAAACAAAGAGGTGTGTTACTGTGGAAATAGACCCACTATCTCCAGAGAGTTTTTCAAACTGCTTGTGAGCATCCTGTCTCCTCCCCCACCACCAGATCCCCGAGCCCACTCGAGACTCCCTATACATGAGAGCAATGCTGCTAAGAATGTGAACCAGCTGTTCCCATAGCCTTCTTGGATTCAGGGTGTGCGGAGTCCCAACACTTAAATTGAAGCTTCCACTCCCCGCCTCCCAAGTCTAAAATCTCTGAATATAAAACTACAACCAAACCTGACTGGATCCTGGTGAAGTCACAGAAATAAGCCAGGAGAACTAGTGGAAAATAAGAAAAAGGACAATTCTCAGGAACCCAAAACTGCTTCTGGTCCCCACCAGCGTGTTACAAAGTGGGGAAGTTTGGTGGTCGAGAAGGGATTTATTGGAGCAAGCAACGCTCCTAAAGAATTCTGTGATCATGGACTTGAGCTCTTTTCCTTCAACTTTTGCTTCCATCTGTAATCATAGCTCATCTGAGTTTTTATTGCTAGGGGAACCTTAGAGATCCATGCTTATTTTACAGTCAAGGAGACTGAGGCACACATCTTGCTCTTCACTGCAGAGCTGGTTAGAGTCGCGGCTCTAAGTTGGTGTTCTCCTGGACTGTGTAACTGGTCAGTTGTAAAACATAGGTGAGATTTTATTTGCAGAAGGAAAAGAAGTTGAACCATATTTTCCTCCTTTATAGAGGGTATTTACTCTTTCCAAGGACAGTGAGACAGTTGTACAAAGTGAATTACAAAGGATAATTTATCCTCCCCCTTAATGGTGACTGGGCCATGTTATTGGTATTCTTAGAGAAACGAGCTATAGAAAATAGGGTACCTTCATGGTGGGTTGTGATGGGAAGGATGCTGGTCTGCTGTAAAGTAAGAAGTGTTGGAATTGTTTGACCACCCTGGTATGGTGGAAGGCTCGAGTTAGTGGCACCTAACACATGTTTCAGTGTCTTCTGCTCAGTCCCCAAGGGCTCAGTGTGGTGAGGAGGATAAGGGTTTGAGTTTGTGCCCAGCTGTTAACAGGGCATGGAATATCCTGTACACACAGTTTGTCCGTGTAGTCAGCAGATGTCAAGTCCTGCTATGGGTCAGATACTGTTTTATGTGCTGGGGATCTAGCACTTCAACAAAATCAACAAAAGTCCCTGCCATCTTGGCCTCTACATTCAGCAGAGGGAGACAGACTAAAGAAAGAAATAAAACGGGTAGAATGTGAGATGATGATATGGCTGGAAGGGGGCTAGGGAAGCGGTATTGGCGGTTTTATAAATAGGGATTAGTCAGGAAAGCCACAGTAGAGGTTGACATCTGAGCAATGACCTGAAGGAGGTAGAAAGGGAGCCATTGTTCCAGGGAGGGAATGGATAACTGGGGCCCAGCCGTGATGTGGGAGCATGCAGAATTGGGTTGGGGGGCGGGGGGGAGGGGGCAGTGTGGTGAAGCCACAGAAGTCAGGAGCAGTCGTGGATGATGATGTGGCTTATTCCTGCTACTTCATTAAAATCCAGTTGGGTTTTGTTGTAGTTTGATATTCAGAGAGTTGGGACTTGGGAGGCAGTGAGTAGGATCCAGACAGCCTATGGCAATGACTTCAGCTTTTAACAGGTTGATATGTGGCCACTGAAGGGCTTTGAGCAGAGTGACATGATCTGACTTAGGTTTCTGGTTTTTTTTAGTATATGTTACTGATTTTTTTACCTAGAGGAAGGGAGAGGGATAGAGAGTTAGAAACATTGATGAGAGAGAAACATTGATCAGCTGCCTCCTGCACAACCCCTACTGGGGATGTGCCCACAACCAAGTACATGCCCTTGACTGGAATTGAACCTTCAGTCCGCAGGCCGACACTCATCACTGAGCCAAACCAGTCTAGGCTGACTTAGGTTTTTTAATTGATTTCTTTCCAAAATTAATATTCCAAATTGACTTTCCAAAGGTTGTACTAATTTACATTTCCATCAGCAAAGTAAGGAGACACCTATCTTCTTACACCCCCACAACACAGAGTAGTATTAAACTTAATTTTTACTCATTTGATAACTGAAAAATAATAGTTTATTATTTTAATTTGCATCTTTGATTTTGAACAGGATTGACTATACTTTTTTGTGAACTACCTTTTCATGTTCTTTATCCATTGTTTTGAGTATATTGTCTTTTTCTTGATTTTCTAGTGGCTTTTTCTACTTTAATGAAGTGGCAGGTGTTTTGACTATGTTTATGATACATCATTTTTCTCCTTTACAGAAGTTTAAAATACTTATGTAGTTATAGTTATCTCTCTCCCTTTTGTAGCTTCTAGGTTTTAGGTCATACTTAAGGCCTTACGTATTTTAAGATAGATAGATATCACTATTTTGTCTAGTACTTTGGTAACTTTATTTTTTTATATTTAACTTTTTATTCCACCTGAAATTTATTTTTGTACGAGTCCAGGATGCCTTTTTAAAAAATGTATTTTTATTGATTTCAGAGAGGAAGGGAGAGGGAGAGAGAGATAGAAACATCAGTGATGAGAGAGACTCAATCAGCTGCCTCCTGCACACTCTCTACTGGGGATCAAGCCCTCAACCCTGGCATGTGCCCTGACCGGGAATCGAACCCTGACCTCCTGGTTCGCAGGTGGACACTCAGTTATGAACCACAGCAACCGGGCAGCATTTCTTTTCCAGATGGTTACTGCTCGTCTCGGCCCTACTTCCTTTATCCCCACTGGTTTGAACTGCTACTTTGGTTTCATTCCAGGTTCTCTTGAATCTGGCACCTACTTTAAAACGTTTTTTTAAGGTAATCTTACCACCAGTTTGATTTATGGCTGGGAGATTTGGTAAACAAATATTGGGTATCTTCTGTTAGCTTTCTCTCAATGTCTTTAGGAAGATTACTGCCCAGAGTTGGGGTCTCAGAGTAATAACGATTGACATGAGTGGGATGGAGGGGGACTTTAGTAAGCTCCATTTCACTGTGCAGGGTATGACAGGTGGGGACAGGGCAGTGGGATGGGTTTCTAATTGCAGGGTTTCTAAGTGTGCCAGCTGAGTCGGAGGAGGGCACATCCCGCCATCCCCAGCAGGGTAGAAGTGTGCCTGTGTCTATGCTAAGATGGCGCAGTGTTAACTCACATGGAACAGGCATTCAGAAGTAAATTTGTTAACTGAGTGATATACAGAAATATGGTGAAAAGGGAGAGAGGTGGGAGAATAGCCACTTCGCTTGTTACATTTCTGCTCCTGAAGCTGATTTAAATAGGCTGCTATCGCCGTCTGAGGTTCTGGTAACTAAAATGCTTGCTCATCTTGTCTGCCTCTTTGTGTGAAATATTAACGTTGTGAAATTCAAATATGTTTGTGCAGTGGAGCCATGCTTTTATTTACTCATGGATGATTTTGGCCACTAGGTAAGTTGTTAGCTTGGCTAGCAGTAGAAAGGCTTCACTGTGACTGACTTTGACTTGTAGTGTATATGTCAGCACAAGTGTATGCTGAGGCGGCTTGTTGGCAGGACTGGGACCAGAATCTCAGTCTTGTGCTTTAGCTCCACGGTCTTAGACTAAGCTACTCAGGGTACGCTTTCCCACAGTGGGAACAAAAGACATGGCATAGCCTTGTGCAGTGTACATGCATGGGGAGTGCTCCCAGGGTTTGACTTTAATTCCTTGGAGTTTTCCCTACAAAAAAAGATCCTCAAAGCGCTGCAGTCTGACCGGCTTGCCCGCTTGGCCAACGAAGGGGTGAGACTCCAGAAAGCTGCCCACAGTGTGTGCCCCCCACCCCATTGCTGACAAGGTGGACCTCATGTTTTATCGCTCCATGTCCGTCTTTCAGGCTTGCAATGAGCCAGTGCTACGTCGAGTTGCGGTGGACAAGTGTGCAAGGAGAGTGCGGCAGGCTCTGGCAAGTGTAAGCTGGGACACCAAGCTGATCCAGTGGCTGCATACCACCCTGGTGGAGACTTTGAGTCTGCCCATGCTGGCGGCCTACCTGGATGCCTTGCAGACGCTAAAAGGGAAGGTAAGGCTATGATTGGTACCTGTCTTGTGCTGGGGCAGCCAGCCTCTGCTGTGGGCTCAGGAAGTGGGGCTTAGCAAGGTCATTGCTTGGTCAGCCAGGAGAGCATGACTGAATGGCAGGTCTGCTATTAAAATAGGAGACATGGTATCACTTCACATTTTTGTCTGGTATAAACGTCTTCAGCCCTGCTGGCTCCAGGATGAGGTGTGGACTTGAAACCAGAACACACTTGTAGCCTCTCCAGCCTTGCAGCTTGTGGTTTGAGTCACCTCTGAGGTCAGGTGAGAGGAGAATTCAATTATCATGCAGAAGATGAAGGGTTTACCAGGCAGGGGTATTGAGAAGGGGCCAGAAGCAGACCTGTGTACTTAAGAGTGCAGGATGGGGAGAGGGAGGTGTCCAGAGCCGGGAGGGAGATTCATGCCTCAGTCTCTCCTCATCGTGGGGTGAACCTTCGGTAGCAACACCTAATAATTCTCTATAAAACATCTATATTTTTCTGCATTCTCACTGAGACAGTATTGCACAAAGTTAAACTGGTTTGTTTTCCCGATTCCAGTTTGTTGTGATTTCAGTTACTGCCTGGGCTGTGTTCATTGTGGTAGATTATGGGTTTGGGGGCAGATAGCCTGGCTCATCTCATCTCAATCCCTAGCGAGCTGTGTGATCTCGGATGTGTCTCCGTTTCCTCATCTCTAATACATGGCTAATAATAATACCTATCTAGGTTTTTTGTGAAAATTAAATTAGTTGATCCAAGATAGAATGCTTGGCACAAAATTTGGCCAAGTAAGCCCACAGCGACTGTTAATGGTTGTATAAGTTTATAGGTTCTTGAAATTTTTAGAGCATATTGCTCTGATACAAAATGGCCCCAGACAACTTGGATTAATTCCGTTCTTGACCTTTTTTTTGCCTTAAGTTTTTCTTTCTTCTCCTTTGTGGGAAGCTGGCCCATTTTGTTGGTATTATTTGCCTGGCCAACAGCTTCCCCAGCCCTACCCCCAAATTTTCAGACTCATTGTTTCCCACCAGTTTTTCAGTAGAAGGATGCTGAGTTTGTTTGAAAACAAAAGTAGACTGATTTAGTGCAGAAATAAAATTCAGGACTAGATACAATAATGATATTGATGGTAGGAAATTTGATATTAGTTTATTTATTCAACAAATAATTTATTTTGTGCCTGTAATGTGTCAGGCATTGGGGTGGGCAAACAGAAATGCCCCTACTCCGATAGAACCTGCTTTCTAGTGGAGAAAGAGACGGATGAGAAGGTAGCCCCCGTGTCCCCTTGCTGCTGTTCTGCCGTGGAATCCTGGGCCCAGGGGAGTGGGGGTGGGGGTGGGGCCATGATCAGACCCAGCAGACAGCCTGAGACTATTTCAGGCATTTCCAATGTTCCCCACAGACTCTGCCCATGTAAGAGTACAGCACTGGTCCCTGTGCTCTTCAGATGAGTGCTGCTGGTGCCAAGTCCCATTTCCCAGTGATTGCCATCCTCTGTGGCCAGTATGACTGCAGTGTAATTCCCCTTGTAAGGAAGGTTGCATCGTTTCCTTGTTTAGTTACTATCTGAACATTCCCAAGTGAACGGGATGGTGTTCAGATTTTATGAGCGTCACAGACTTCTGGGGGGACTCCACAGGTGTGCATAGTCATTACGATATTTTTTACTCTGTTCCCTATGTTGTACTTTACATCCCTGTTACTGTTGTTATGACTGGCAGTTTGTACTTATTAATCTCTCCCTTTTTTCACCATCCCCCAGTCCTCCACCTTCTCGGATCATAAATTTATCTCTGTGTCTATGAGTTTGTTTCAATTTTATTTGTTCATTCTGTTTTTTAAATTCCACATATAAGTGAAATCATGTCATTTGTCTTTCTCTGAATAACTTATTTTACTCAGGCCCACCCATGTTTTATAAATGGCAAGATTCCATTCTTTTGTGGTTTAGTAATATTATATTGTATTTACATACCACATCTTTATCCATTTGTCTATTTTTTTAATCCTCACCCACAGATATTTTTCCATTGATTTTTAGAGAGAGTGGCAGAGAGAGGGAAAGACAGAGAGAAATAGTGATGTGAGAGAAACACATCGATTGGTTGCCTCCTGCTCGAGCCTCGACCAGGGCCCAGGCCAGGGAGGAGCCTGCAGCTGAGGCACGTGCCCTGGATTAGAATCAAACCCGGGACCCTTCAGTCCACAGGCCAATGCTCTATCCACTGAGCCAAACTGGGTAGGGCTATCCATTTGTTTATTGATGGACAGTTAGGTTTCTTCCATATCTTGGTTATTGTAAATAATGCTGCAATGAACATAGGGGTGTGTATATCTTTTTGAATGAGTGTTTTGGATTTCTTTGAATAAATACCCAGAAGTGGAATTTCTGGATCATATGATACTTTTGTACTGTTTTCCATAGTGGCTACACCAATATACAATTCACCAACAATGGACAAGGGTTTCTCCACATCCTTGCCAACACTTGTATGTTGATTTATTGATGATAGCCATTCTGACAGGTGTGAGGTGATATCTCATTGTAGTTTTGATTTGCATTTTCCTGATGATAACATATATTGAGTATATTTTCATGTGTCTCTTGGCCTTAACTCCATAAAGATCACTATTAACATTTTGATATATTAACGTCTTTTTCTGAATAGAAATAGTTTTTACATTTTCTGTTTTATCTTTAACATTTTAGCAAAATGATTTCCTTATGTTACTACAAATTTTTAAAAACATTTAATATTAACTCATGATATCGAATTAGGTAGATAATTTTCTTAACCCCTCTCTTATGTATGCATTTAGATTGTTTCTGCTCTTTTGGATATTATTGAGAGTGAATTTGTCTTGTGTGATCTCGTGGGAGTACGCACACGTGTGTATCTCATATATTTTGTTAGGAAAGGCTCTTGGAGGCAGACTCCTTTGGGGAAGGGGTAGGAATAAACTTAAGTTTCCTGATGCATATCACCAGGTGTCTTTCCAAAGGATTGTACCATTTACATGGATGGGAAGCCATCCGTGTAGTTGTATCTTTGCTCCTGAGGTAAGTTCAGGGGCATAGTTGAGGTCTATCTGGCTCATAGTGGGGCTCTGTGCTCTGTCTGATTGCTGCTGGGGGGCAGGTCTCCTGCTTCCCAGTGGAAGCACCTTTGTTATTCCTTGCTTCTAGATCCCTACCTTGATTGACCGGATGCTTGTATCGTCCAACACGAAGACTGGGGCTGCAGGAGCTGAGGCCTTGTCCCTCCTACTGAAGAGGCCCTGGGACCCTGCTGTGGGGGTACTTTCTCATAACAAACCAGTAAGTTGGGCAGCTCAGGACTTATCATGGAATTTTTAGAATCTGGTCTCAGAACTATGGCAAGAGGATAGTAAGTGGGTTGTTTAACCTTTTTCATTGATAACTAGTTGTGTATAATGCTTAACAGTTTCAAAGACAGATTGGCATTGGTTGGGATAAGAAGGTGTGGGGACACCTGGGATTTCATGGAGGAACCCTCTCATGCCTTGGTTCTCTGGTGACATTTTTTCCATAGAGCAAGCTCCCTGGCTCTCCACTCATTCTCATTGCCTCCTCCGGGCCTTCCAGTTCTGCATTTCCCACCTCACGCCGCCACCGCTTCTGGCAGTCTCAGCTCTCCTGCTTAGGCAAGGTATGTGTGGGGACAAGAGGGACTCTGTCCTGGGTGGGAATATAGTCTTGGAGGATTGAGCAGACAAAATGCAGCAGGGGGCCAAATTGAATGAACTTAAATATGGAGCTTCCACAGCTCTCTTTTTTTTTGGAATTTGAATGGTGCTTATCCAGGGCTGATGGATTCTAGGGTAGGTTAGGGAGATTTGAGCAAAGATTTGAAACTTAACCTTTGCTGGCATGGCTGCCACTTCCTTCCGTTAGGTCATCCCTGTAGCCACCCATCTGCTGAACAATGGAAGTGGGGTAGGAGTTCTGCAGTGTCTTGAGCATATGATTGGGGCAGTGAGAAGCAAAGTGCTGGAGGTGAGACTGCCCCTGCTTGACTTCACCAAGACACACCCAGTCTTCCCGGCTTCTGCTCCCATCAGTAGCTCCTGTGTAACTGTCTTGTCTTCTTTCTCTTTCCACAAAGATTCACAGCCATTTTCCCCACAAACCCATCATCTTGATTGGCTGGAATACAGGAGCTCTGGTGGCCTGTCATGTAAGTAATCCCCCCTTACTTGGAGGTTGTCCTGGGGTAGAATGCTGCTGCTGCTGCTGCCAGCCACCGCCGAGTCCTCTTTTATGTTCCAGGCACAATGCAGGATGCTGGACCTACATAATTACATTTTAAGCATAACAGTAAACCCCTTGGGCCCTCACCCAGCTTTACCGGTAATCAGCTCACAACAAGGCTTTTGCACCATCTGTTTTCTTTGTCAGTATTTTGAAGAAAATCCCAAATATTTCATTCATATGTATTTCAGCATGTTTCTGTGAAACAAATTCCTCCCCTTTCTCCTCCCCAAAAAACACAAGCACTATTCTTCCACCTAAAACAAAACAAAACAATGCTAGCAGGCAAAATTTTTAATAGCTCTGGAATTTGCTGTTGTGTTCGTGTTCTGCCCCTTTCCAAGACATCAAGAAACCTTTTCTTTGTTATTTTACATACCATTTGCATGCATATTAGTTTGCATAAGGGTCCCTGACCTGTCCAGAGCCCCAGTTCTCAAGCGGATAAACTGAGTGAAGTCTGTGCTGCTTGCTATGGTCTAGTCCAGTGGTCGGCAAACTGCGGCTCTCTCAACACATGCGGCTCTTTGGCCCCTTGAGTGTGGCTCTTCCACAAAATACCACATGCGGGCGCGCACGTACAGTGCGATTGAAACTTCGTGGCCCATGCGCAGAAGTCGGTATTTTGTGGAAGAGCCACACTCAAGGGGCCAAAGAGCTGCATGTGGCTCCCGAGCCGCAGTTTGTCGACCACTGGTCTAGTCAAATATAACATCTTGGGCCATGAGAGGGGAAGGCTGTCTCCTCATAACCCTGGTCCCAGGACAGCAAATTCTCTAAGAAAGTGAAGTGCCTGGGAGCTACCCATTAAGTTCAAAAGGGGGAGATTTTCTTCCCTTAAGAGAGAAGAGCAGCATTTTATTCTCCTGGTAGTATTTGGTGTAAGTATGGACATGTGGGGAGTGAGCAGGAGGCCTGTAGTTTAGGGAATTGACAGGGTGGAAATATTAAACGCCCCATCCTGTGGTTCAGCCTCTGCTGGTGTCCTCCCAGACCCCAGTGTTTCAGGTGGTGGCTGCTTGTGGAATGGCACATCTGTGTTCTGTGTTACTGCTGCCACCATGGCTGGTACTCCTTGGGGTTGGGATGGGGAGGAGTAGATGGGACTAGCTGGTAGCTCTGGACTAGTTCTAAGTTCTGGGTAGGAAGGCAGTTGACCTAGAGACAAACTGTTCCATTATTTCTAGGTGGCGGTCATGGAGTACGTCACTGCTGTTGTCTGCCTTGGATTCCCTCTGCTTACCGTGGATGGCCCCAGAGGGGTAGGTATGGGGCACCATTGACTGCTGGGCAGGTGAGAGAGAGTAGGGAGTGCATGCCTCGCCCAATTTGGTGCGCAGTGACTTCAGCGGCCCAGCTGGCTTCCTGAGCCGACCAGCCAGGGCAGTGCTCAGTAACTATGAACTGGCTGATTGTGAACTCTGCACTTGTTTAGGATGTGGATGATCCCCTCTTGGATATGAAGACTCCAGTCCTCTTTGTCATTGGTCAGAATTCCCTGCAGTGTCACCCTGAAGCCATGGAGGACTTCCGGGAGAAGATTCGGGCCGAGAACAGTTTGGTGGTGGTTGGGGGAGCTGACGATAACCTCAGGTGGGTGGGCCCCCAGGGCTGTGAGACCCATGCTGTGGCGTTGGAGAGAGACCTGTGAGGTGCTAAGGTCGCTAGCTACATAAGCTAATCTCCTTCAGACTCCATCTGAAAGGGGCATTGAAAATCTTTTTTTTTTTTTTTACATATTTAACTAATTCAGATTTATAAAATGTTGCAAAAATAGTACAAAAATTCCTGTATACCCCTCACCTGGATTTCTCAAATATTAACATCTTACATAACCAATGTATGATTATCAAAGTCAAGAAATTAACTTCAATATGATACTGTGATCTAATCTACAAACTCAGATTGCATCACTTGTCTCTGGTTCAGGGTCCAGGATCACATGTTGCTGTTGGTGCCATGGCTTCCCCGTCTCCTTTAATTTGATTCATTTGATACTGCTCAGTCCGTCTTTGCTTTCATGACCTTGACACTTCTGAAGACTTTTGGCCAGTTATTTTGTAGACTGTCCCTCAGTGTAGGTTTGTGACATTTTTTTATGATCAAGTTGAAGATATGTATTTTTGGCAGTAATGCCCCAAAGGCAAGGTACCGTCGCTGCACCTCCTCCAAGGATACATGATGTTGACATGTCTTATCACCGATGATGTTATCCCTGATCACGGGTTACGGGGGCCTCTGCCAGGTTTCTCTGCAGTAAAGTTACTATTTTCCCTTTGTAATTAGTAGTTACCTGTGGGGAGAAGATACTTTGAGACCCTGTAAATATAGTCTTTGTCATCATGGGATTACTGGGATAGGCATTTCTTCTTTTTTTAATAATTCTTTATTGTTGAATATTACATATGTCCCCTTTCTTCCCTCATTGACCCCCTCTAGCCTGCCCCAGGCCTTCACCACCCCGTTGTCTGTGTGGGATAGGCATTTCTTTACATTTTGTTCCTTCCTCGGGGTGACTATGAACACATTTTATTTGTATTAAGTACCTTTTACATATTTTGGAGGATAAACAGCCAAAGTTTGAGAGAGTTTTATAAAGGTACCTTTAGTTCTTGAGATGTCTACTCCCTTACAAGGCCAGCTGCCTTTAGTTACATTTCCATGAAACATACTGAATGTGTCATGTATGGGGCCTCCGTTTCCTGTATGCTCACTCTGAGAGATTCAGTCATTTGTGTGCTTTAACTAGAGAACTTAAAGCGGGTGCCTGCTCCTACCTGTCTTGTCGGGTTCTTACCCAGAGATGATTGGGAGAATTCCTCTTGGTCTTGGTCATTTGACAATTTATCGGGGTTTGGGCCTTTGTTGGGGTCTTGTAAGGTTCATGAGGACATAGGTAAAGGACTTCTGGAGTGTGTAGTTCCAGCACTTTCCATACGCTCTTTTGTGCTATCCCCCGACCCTCTAAGTGAGGTATTATGGTGCTCCATTTTGCAGATGTGGAAACAGGTTCAGACCGGTTGCAACACCTGCCTAAGCACTAACATAGTCTTCCTTCCCAGGCCTTGAAAATAACCTCCACTGGATGCCATGGAATATTTAGAAAGTGAACATTTCCTCCTTTTTGTCTCTTAGGATAAGTAAAGCAAAGAAGAAATCAGAAGGGTTGACACAGAGCATGGTGGACAGGTGTATCCAGGTACACAGTTGCTTTTGCGTTTTCTCAGCTAGGCTTCCTTTCTGCAGCCTTTTGGGCTTAGTCTTGTCAGTAACAGCCTTTTTGTCTCTGAAGAGTAAGGGGTATATCCCCTGGGGCCTCTGGTGGCCTAAATCATAAGCAAAGAGAAAGAGAAAAGAAAGAGGGAGAAGAAGGGGAAAGGAGAGTCATGAGCTAAAATGTGGGGAAAGTATCAGGGAAGAAAGGGTTCACAGGGGGAATGGTGGTGCATGATCACCCAGGGCACCACCTCACAGAGGTGCCTCTGGCTGAGGCTGGGGTTTGTGCCAGGTTTTGTGCACATGGGGCGGGGGGGTGGGACTGGCACCCCAGACGCCCAAGCCAAGGTAATCGTTTTAGTTGGGACTGTCAGGCAGTTCCCGTTCTCCAGCCGAGGACTCTGTGTTGGCCTCTCCTTACGCCAGGATGAGATTGTGGACTTTCTGACTGGCGTGCTCACTCGCTCCGAGGGGCACGGGGGCGCCGAGCCTCGGGACCAGGATGCTGAGAGGAAGAAGAAGCCCCGGGACGTGGCCCGCAGAGACCTGGCCTTTGAGGTCCCTGAGAGGGGCAGTCGGCCCGCCTCCCCCGCTGCCAGGCTTCCAGCCTCCCCTTCAGGCTCCGAGGTAACGTGGCGGGGGAGGGCCATTTCTGCAGGGGAACGAGGACCCAGAGCTGGTGTGTTGGCTTCTTGGGGTCGCCTATGCGCTGGGGCCAGTGCCTGTAGGCCTGTGAGACCTACGAGGCGAATTCCTGACCAGGGATTCCTAGGGGACATGCCGACAGGTGGTGACACCCAGACAGTGTTGGCTCGGCTCCTGCCCCTCTCGCCCTGCTCAGGATCTCTCCAGTGTGTCCAGCAGCCCCACCTCCAGCCCTAAGACCAAAGTGACCACAGTGGCCTCTGCCCAGAAGTCCAGTCAGATTGGGAGCTCTCAGCTGCTGAAGAGACATGTGCAGCGGACAGAAGCTGTGCTGACCCACAAACAAGCCCAAGGTATGGGTGCCTGGCCGGTGGCCCCTCTCTGTCCTGCAGTAACATCATGTGGCAGTTGGAATGTATTGGCACCTGCAGCTTTTCCCAGGGGCATGTGAGAAGCACCTTTCCCACAGTCCTGTCCAGGCAAAATGAATGCTGAGGGCTGTTTTCAGGGTGAAACATCACTTGAGGTCTGTGTGTAGGGGCTGCAGCTTTGTCTTGGTGTTCGGGGCAGTTAGGCTGTGGGCTGACTACATGTGTACTGGCCGCAGATGCTTTCCTAACGCCCGTTGCGGGGGCTGCAGCTGCTCAGGCCCTGCCCAGCCACTCCCGCAGCACAGTGCTCTCCAAGGTGCTTGGCTTGTTCATCAGACTCCAGGGCAGCTTCACTGGGTCATACCCTTTCTTTGTGTTGCTCTTGAAGAGTTAAGATTTCCACACTGGGACTTTCATGAGGTTTATCAGATAGGATTTAGGTTAGGCTGGGAAATATCGGTATGATTGAAATTAGAGTTTGGAGATCAGTGAGTGCTGCGTAACAAGCTCTAGGCAAGGGAGAGTTCAGTGGGTAGGGAGAGAAGGAGATGCAGTGGCTCTATCCCTCTCCCACTTTGATCCAGTTGGGTGGCTCTGAGATGAGGTCTCTTAGGCATTGGTGTTTGATGATGTATCCAGGAGCACGTATCAACTGAGGCTCAGGGAAGAGGCAGTAGCCAGAGCTGGTTGTCAGGTGGAGAGAGGTGGAGGTGACCGGCTGGCCTCCTCACTTCCCCTGTGTTTCCTTCAGTGAAGCCAAGAGTAAGGACTTAAAACCCAAGCCTCTTAGGAAGTTGCCCTTGAGGGTGGTGCTGACAAGGAGCAGAAATGCGAGTGGATAGATGAAGCCAAAAAAGAGGCCAGGTGCTCGGTCCGTGCGGATGCTCTGGGACCTGGACTTGCTTAAGTGGTGGCCAGAGCCAAGTTCTAAATGGGTGGCATCCACTCAGGCTTTTGATAAAGAGAGAGCCAGTGGTCTGCGGTGCCTCTGGGGGGGATAATTGCTTGAGAATCCAAGGAGTTTTGGAAGGCTGATTGTTGAGCTGGGTTCGAAATGGAAACCAGAGTTTCATGGGGGGCAGCAGCTGTAGCTGCTTTGACTGAGCTCATAGGCAAAGGGGAGGATAATAGCTAATGTTATGGAGCCTCACTGTGTGCTCGGGCCTCTTCCTGCTGCCTGACTTACTGTGGCTCAGTGAATCTTGGCCCCACGGGGCAGGTGCATTTGTATTTCAGTTTATAGATGATTTCATGGAGCCGCTAAAAGCAATAATTCCAGAGAAAGCCCCTGTTGACTATTTTCTAGAACATTCTCGTGTCTTTTTCTTATTCCTTCTCTTTCTCTCCTTTGTCTGGCTGGCTGTGATTCTATAATTCTTTCTGATTCATTCCAGCACAGTTTGCTGCTTTTCTGAAACAAAATATGCTGGTGAGGAAAGCTCTTCCTCCCGGCACCTCCTCCTGTCTCTTTGGTGAGTATTACTCTCTCTCACCTTCTCCCTCTTCACTCCCCAACCCGACCTCTCATTCGTCCCTGTTTGGTTTCCTCCTGTTCTTTTCTCTTTGCCTTTTTCTATCTTTTGATTTTTTTTCCCCGACTCCTTTTGCTTATTGCTCCATTGTCTTTGCTTTTTCTTCCTTCTTTCTGTTTGCCTCTTAGGGTGTTTTTCTCCTTTTGTTTCTTATTATGGTTCTTAGCTCTGCTTCTCCCATGCGTGCCTGTGGCCATTGCCTGTGAGCCTGCATTTCCTTGGGTGTTTTTCTCCCTGCCTGTGGTTTCCTCCCTCCATTCTGGCCTTTGCAAGCCACTTACCAGCATAAAACTGTAACTCCTTCTCCTTCCATTACCTCTTTCCAACTTGGATTTTACTAGTAATTGATGCCGTTTAAAAGTATGTTTTCTAAATTAATTTTTAGAGAGAGGAAGGGGAAGGGATAGAGAGATAGAAATGTCTATGAGAGAGAAACATCTTTGGCTGCCTCCTGCATGCCCCCTTCTGGGGACTGAGCCTGCAACCCAGACATGTACCCTGACCAGAATTGAACCAGTGACCTCTTGGTTCCTGGGTCGACCCTCAACCACTGAGCCACACTGACTGGGCTAGTCCCTTGAGCAAACCTTCTGCTGGTTATGCCCTGACTATGGTCTGGAATAACTCCCTATGGCCCATGCCATGCCCCCACCCTCCTGCTGCCTTCTCCTCCCAACCCTGATTGCCTTTGCTAAGATGAGGGACTGGAGCTGGGGGGCTCTGGGTGTAAAGAGGAGAGGATCTGTGAGGAAGCCTGAATGATACCCAGGCTTGGCCATATGCAGAGTGAATCTGTTGGACTCAATGGAGGGGAAAGCCTGTGTGTGAACAGGTAGCCTTTCTGTGTACCTAGGACAAGGGACCTGGGGACTAGATTGTGACATGGACCACTGTTGCCCTGTTACTTTGGGACAGGAGCTATAAAGGTGTCTTGGCTAACATGCTTCCTTGCTTAGGAGCTCCTAGAGCCAGACCGAAGTTCTGGTAGCAGTTCTCTTTGTGGCAAGCAAACCCTCAGTCCTGGGCTCCTAGGGCATGGGACTCAGAGCCCTGTGAAATCTGCTGTGTAGCCTGTTCCCCTGTTGCTTCTTCCTGGAATGTTTCCTGCCCACCAGCTGTGTCATGTGGGGCGGGCTCGAAACAGGAAAAGGATCATGGTTTCTGAGCTCGGGAGGTGCCGTTTAGATCCCCTGTGATGAGGCCTCTGTGTTTTGGTTGGCCTGTGATGGCAGGGTTGCAGTGTCTTCTCCTTTCTTTTTGTTCCAACTCAGAGCCCCTGTCTTTCCAACTCCAGGACAGAGTGGGGAATGGGGATGGCGCCATGCCCTGAGAGGGCCAAGGTGCATTTCCACCACAGCGGGGGCTGAGCGAAGTGGGACTAACACAGAGGTTGTTGTCTTTGAAGTGTGGCTCTGTGTGTGTTCCCACATACAGCGGTCCCTGCTCTGGGCCTCACCGTCAGAGTCTGGGAAGTGTGGAGGACCTAACTCAGCTCTGTCTCTTAGTTCCCATCTCATCGGATCAAGCGGAGGAAGCAGAGAAAGAGGACCTTAGGGTCCAGCTGAAGCGGCACCACCCCTCCAGTCCTCTGTCTGGCAGTAAGGCCTCCAAGCGACCCAAGATCAAGGTGTCCCTCATCTCCCAAGGGGACCCAGCCGGAGGGCCTTGTACCCCTTCCCCAGGAGGAGCCCCAGAAGGTGAGTTTCCCTTGACCTGTCCCATAAACTGGCTGAGCTCTCCCGGCTCGTAGCTTTGCTCTCTTGGGGCTGCTTGCTGGCACTCAGCCTCAACTGCAGTGCGAGGGCTGCCTGAGCAGAGGGCTCGAGTGGCCCACGGGAGGGCAGGCAGTGACCTGCTCTGCACTAGCACCAGGGAGGCAGGACGAAGATCAGAGGAAGCTCTGGGTTCATGCAAAGCATCATATATTTGGGGGGGTTTGTTTGTTTATTTCAATTAAAAATAAAATATTCCAGAAAGTTTAGACAACAGAAGGGGGAAAAAATAACTCCAGCTCTTCCTGTTCCCATGTAGTTCTTCAGTTTTCATTTTCCAGTCTTTGTCCATAATACCTTGCATTTAGTCTGGCTGTGGAGGCTGAAAAGTGAGCCGATCGGGACTGACTGGTGGCTTGGGGGCTTTGTTTTGCAGCTGGGGGAGGAAAGCCCATCATGATGACACTGGGGCAGGCGGCAGCAGGTGCCAAGGAGCTCACGGGGCTTCTCACCACAACCAGGTGAGTCTGCTTCTTGGTCTGTCTGTCTCTGTCCCCTTCTTTCTCTTCACCTTTCTTCTGGTCCACATAATGCTTTGGGCAGATGGTGGGTTCTGGGTTCTGTCCGTTCGGGGAGTGTAACTTCTTTTTGGGTGGGATCTTTATTTTTCTTTTGGACCAACTCAAGAGTTCAGTTCATTTTCACCTAAAGTTTGCAAAGCATCCCGTAGCTCTTGCTTCAAGGCCTGAAGTCTTTACTTTAGGCATAGCTTCTAGAAGGACAAGTGGCCTATTCAGAAGTGGAATGAAGAAAGCAAAGTTTCTTGCCTCATGTCCATTGCTGAAACCTTGCTGGGCTCCATTCCGGCCCCTCCCTGTGTTGCTGGGCCTGCTGCCCTCCAACCTTTGTCTAATGGAGCTCCTGTCCTTATATCCAGGCCCAGTGTTTCTGAAGCGGGTGTGTCAGCCAGCCCAGCCTCCTCCGTGGTCTCCAGCAGCACTGCACCCAGTCCCTTGCACACACTCCAGAGCCGCCTGGTGGCCACCTCCCCTAGCAGCTCCCTCTCAGGTATCTGGGGCACAGCATCCTGACCTCCCAGCAGAGTCTGGGCAGCTGTTGGAGGGTGGTCCTGGCAGAGCAGCCTGGAGCTGAATCTGGAGGGCATTCCTCAGGTCTTGGGTTTGTCAGGGAAGTTTGACAAGAAGCTGGAATTAGCTTTAAGGGGCATGAAGTTCTTGGCCTTAATATGTACAATGAGTAAACATCACAGTCTGCAGGCAGAGCATCCTGTACTGTAAGGAGGAGAAATCGCTAGTGGGAAATGTAGGTATTGTGTTTCATTTCGGTGTTAAGATTGAATAAAGCTGGAAATGGTGCATGCTGGGTGTGCGTGTCTCCTCACCTCTGCACCTCCACCCGACACTGAAAGGCTGAGTGTCTGAGCCCAGCAGGGCCAAGTCACACGCCTTCTCCTTTAAGAGGCCCTTCCTCTTTGCTTTGAGGCCACTGGGCTGTGTGTAAAGGGTGGTGTAAATGAGGTGCTTGGAATTCTTTTGGCTTAAAAAGTCCTTTCTCGCCTAGCTGGTGTGGCTCAGTTGGTTGAGCATCATCCCGTGCAACAAAAGGTTGCCGGTTTAACTCCAGGTCAGGGCACATACCTGGGTTGCAGGTTTGATCCCCATTTGGGGTATGTACAGAAGGCAACTGATAGATGTTTCTCACATCGATGGTTCTCTCCCTCTCCCCCTTACTCCCTCTCCCCCTTACTCCCTCTCTCTCAGTATGTCCTCGGGTGAGGATTAAATTACATTTTTTTTAAAAGTCCTTTCTCTTCCCTAGAAAGAAGTGAGGGATTTAGAGTTCTGAACAATGGGATTCAACCTCTCTGGTTTTCCTAAACCTGTCCAAACTGTCGGACGGGTGGTTTGGAGCAGGTTGGGATGTGCAGAAGGAATGGAAGGCGTGCATCTGCATAGACCCTTCCTCACATGGGCCTTCAGCGGGCATGCTGGGGGACCTGCTGGCTTCCTGAGAGTGAGGAATGTCCAGGGGAAAGAGCACACCTGGTGTTGGCTGGGTTGTTGAGGGTGGACGGGCATGGCTGCTCTCGGATAAATGGTGGAGCTTGTACTGATGTCTGTCATATCATTTCCTAGGGGCCACATCTGCCAGCAGCCTCCTCCAAGGCCTCAGCTTCAGCTTACAGGATATCAGCAGCAAGACCTCGGGCCTCCCAGCAAGCCCCTCCCCAGGACCATCCCCACAGGTGCACATCTGCCTTCCTTCTGGGCTGGGCAGGTGTGGGAAGGAAGCCTCCGCTTGGTTGGTTGTGGTAGGGAGACTGGGTCTGGAGTCTGGGTCAAGGACAGATAGCCCCTAACTTCCCAGCTGGGAGCTACGAAAGGTTAAGGCTTCAGCACTTACTGGGAGACACTGGGCAAGTTTCTTGACCTCTCTATGTCTTTGTTTCCTTGTCTGTAAAATGAGGATAGTGGTCTATCCCTCACAGAGTTGTTTTGAGGGCGAAATATGTGGGGAATGCCTGGAAGAGCACTTGCATGTGGTGGACACTCAGTACATGGCAGTCTTTAATAACGTGCTGTGGGCACGCCACACTTGTACATGGCTGTTGGGCAACAGCTTCTGATCACCTGGGCTTGTGTGTCCCACAGGCCACCAGTGTGAAGTTGCCCACCCCCATACAGAGCCTGGGTGCCATCACCACAGGCACCAGCACCATTGTCCGTACCATTCCTGTTGCCACCACTCTCTCATCCTTGGGTGCCACTCCTGGTGGAAAGCCTACAGCCATCCACCAGCTGCTGACCAACGGGGGCCTCGCCAAGTTGGCAAGCAGCCTCCCTGGCCTGGCTCAGATCTCCAACCAAGCATCAGGTGAGTCTTTCTTGAGAACCCTGGGGACTCCCAGATATGGGATCTTCCCCCAGGACCTTCTCATCTCACATGGGCTAGGTATGCTATTGAAGCCAACCAGGGTCTTGGCATCCACCCTCAGGGATTTAGCTGTGAGGGGTCCATCCCCCAGAGAGGTTGAGAGAACACAGGCTGTTTCCTGCTACCTTTCAGAGTGACCGATGGGGTGTAGATGACCCCGCTGGGGAGGAGAACAAGGAGGGTGTGCTCTGTGGGAAAGAAACTCCCCAGGAGAGGAAATAGGGTGTGACCAAAAAAAACCTTACTTCTCTTCTCAGGCTTGAAGGTCCCCACCACCATTACTCTGACCCTACGAGGGCAACCAAGCCGAATCACCACACTGAGCCCCATGGGCCCAGGAGCAGCCCCATCCGAGGAGCCCACCTCCCAGGTGCTGCCCTCCAACTCACAGGTGAGTCTGCCCAGGAAGATGGAGGACACAGGCTCTAGCAGTGTCAGTGCACTGGGCTTGTAGTTAGGTCAGATTCAAATCCAGACCCGGGACTTGTAGCTTTGAAACTTGGAGCCTCGTTTTCTGTCACACTCGCTGGACGGTTGTGAGGTTAAACATGTGTCCCTGCGAGCCAGTGCCTGTGTTTCATGTTTTGGTTTACTTTCCCTCCCCATACCTTTCTTCTCTGCTCAGTTCTGTCGTCAGCGGTCGTGGCATAGGCTTTCCAGCATCGTGCCCTTCCAGATCTGGGCACTCATTGCCATCTTTCTCGGGCACAATTAGGTTTTTTTTTAAATATAACTTATTGATTTCAGAGAGGAAGGGAGAGGGAGAGAGATAGAAATAGTAATGATTAGAGAGAATCATTGATCGTCTGCCTCCTTCACGCCCTGCACTAGGGACTGTGCCCTGACCGGGTATCGAACCATGACCTCCTGGTTCATAGGTCAACGCTCAGCCTCTGAGCCATGCCATCTGGGCCACAGCTAGGTTTTTTATAGCCCTTACCAGAAGTCACCTCCAAGTCCTCTCAGCTGAATGATTTCCTTTATGACCTTTTCCAATGAAATGTTTCTAATCTTAAATGGTGATCTGAGAGCCACCCAAAGGCCAGAGATTTAAGAGAACAGTCATTTGTGCCCAGTGTGGAGTGTGCTTACTTCAGTGCCCACCATTCCAGCCAAGGCCTTCCATGCAGGAATGGTGCTGTGCCAGCCGCGTGGCAGAAGCTGGCCCTGAGCCTGGCATTCCCACACAGGCTTTGCGTGGAAATGGGGGCTGGGCATGCTTGGCAGGGGACCATTGCTGACTGGACTAAAAGCTCCTCTGCACAGAGGTTGTTCCTGGCCCCACTGGGGTCAGAGCTACCTCTGCCGTCTGCAGAGAGGTGGAGGTGTTCTCATTTTATTCATTATCTTTTCAGTCACAGAAATGATTATGCTTATCTATATATATAAAAGCCTAAGTGACCGAACAACCAGTCCATCGGTCCCTATGACACACACTGACCACCAGGGGGCAGACGCTAAATGCAGGATCTGTCCCCTAGTGGTCAGTGTGCTCCCACAGTGCAAGCGCCGCTCAGCTGACTGAAGGCACCAGACACTGGGCTCATAGCTGGCAAGTGCAGCTGCGGCAGCAGGAGCTTCTCCTGCCTCCATGGCAACATGCTACCCAGCGGCCGGGCAGGCACAGCAGGGCCGTTATGAGCGGGAGTGGCACAGCACCGGGCCCCACTACTACACCCCCTGAGGCTCCCGGATTGCGAGAGAGAGCAGGTCAGGCTGAGGGACCCCACTGGTGCACGAATTCGTGGATCAGGCCTCTAGTTTTCAATAATACAAACATTATAGAAGTAATATAACTTAGAAAGTGCAAGTTTCCCATGATACCACTCCCAGAGAGGATATCCACTGTTAGTAGCTTGATATGCATTCTTCTAGATTTTTCTTTGTATGCAAAGTGTATTACTTTAATTTTACTTTTTGACAAAGATGAGATCACAGCCCTGACCAGTTTGGCTCAGTGGATAGAGCGTCGGCCTGCGGACTAAATGGTCCCAGGTTTGATTCTGGCCAAGGGCATGTACCTTGGATGTGGGCACATCCCCAGTAGCGGGTGTGCAGGAGGCAGCTGATCGATGTTTCTCTCTCATCAATGTTTCTAACTCTCTATCCCTCTCCCTTCCTCTCTGTAAAAAATCAATAAAATATTTTTTTTAAAAAAAAAAAAGATGAGATCACAAAATACGGACTTTTGTAGCTACCTTTGTTTACAAAACACATTATGACATGTCTCCCTGTTGATTACAGAGAGACCTATCTATGCTCTGACAAGGTGGGCGTAAGAAAGTGGGCTTCACCACCACTGATAGGGAGTTGGGCTGTGTTTTGTTTTTTGACATCATAAGTAATGGTGTAGTGCACACCCTCGTCATGATGTGTGTTTACCTCGGGGGATTCTACAGGCTAGAGACCAATATGTGGAGGGTACATGCATCTACCGCCTGCTAGCTGCTCACTAATTGTCTTTCACGGGGTTTTGCTAATTTACAAGACACAGTGATGAGAATATCTGTTTGTTTATACCATTGTCAGGTGTGGAAATCCGTATTTTTAATTTTACTGATTTGATGGTTGAGAAGTGAAACTGTTTTCATGTGCATTATCTATTATACAAGTTGCATGTACTTTATTCCAGTCAGTTGCGCTTTTTTTCCTTTCTATTGAAATAATAAGTGCATGTCTTTTAACTTTTGTTTCTGGATCTTTTATCATGCAGACATTAAAAAATTTTATACAGTAAGGTCTTCAAATCTTTTCCTTTATGCTCTTCCAATCGCAAGAGTATAATCTTTATGCATTTTTTTTTTTGCATTTTGTTTTTTAATATATTTTCTTTTTAGAATTGTGGTAAAATATACATCCTTACAAGTTACCATTTTTACCCTTTTTTAGGCCCAATTGAGTGGCATAAAGCACACTCACATTGTTGTGCAACCATTACCACAATCCACCTCTAGAACTTCTCCATCATCCCATATTGAAACTATTTTCTTATAATGCTTGTTTGTTTACCTTTAGTTTCAGTCCACTTGGAATTTGTTTCTTTTATTGTTGTTGTTTTTTTGGGGAGGGGGGGTTTGGAATTTATTTCTATATGCTAAGTGAGATAAGGATCTAACTATAGAGGAGTCCATTCATTTTTCATCGTTTGACATCCACTGCTCTCACATTCTAAATTACTATGCACACGTGGGCCAGTTTTGTACCCCTTGATCTGTCTGTTCCTACACTGGCTTTATATTGTCTGGTAATGCAGATCTTCTAGTTAAGGGAGTATCAGTTGTGTTTCTAGTTTGCTAAGATCTTTATACTTTTCCTTTCTCTTGATAAATAATGGGTTTTTAATTTTGTCCATTGCCCTTTTGGAATCAAATGAGATGAATGAGTATAAATAGTTCCTTTAATTAGTTAAACTAATGAATTACTTTAATAGATTTCCTAATATTGAGCTACCAAAATTTGAGATTCAGGCATTTGTCCAATATGTCCTATTCTTTTTTTTCACAGTCCACATTTATTTTTATTTTGCACACATGGGAATCAAAAAGGAACAAAACACAATAGGGAAAAAAATACAATAGAAAGAAAAAAGCCAAGTGTTTCAGAGAAAGGCACTCTTCTGATTTGCTTTTATTTTAGTAAGGATTTTGGCCTCTGTTTATTAGTGATATTGGCCTGTAGTTTTCTTCCAGTCACCTCTGCCTTTGTGTGTGCTTTCTATCTTATAATATGAGATGAGAAGTATTTTATGTTTTTCTCATCTTCTCAGACATTTATATATCATAGAAATGACCAGTTTCTAGGTGGTTTGATGGAAATGACCTCTAAGCCATCGGGCCTATGTCAGGCAGTTCTAACCTTTGCTGATGCTGCCTTGAGGCTCAACTAGAAACATGTCCCCACACGATGCTCTCCTCTCTGTTAGGTGGTCCTTTGGGCTTGCTGTGCATTGGGGAGCTGGCTAGTGTTGAGAGCAGTTAGAGTCGTTGGGAATCCTCTTCCTGGCTAAATGGGAGCCCAGAATAAAGATAATATGTGACGTCTACCCAAGGGAGTTACCTCAAGAGCTTCTTTTTATCTCAGTAAAATGGGTGTGTAATTACTAGGAAGGGTCTGGTGATGATTCTTTTCTTACAAAGGAGATATTATTAGATTCAGACTTGCTGACTTGAAAGCTTCTAACATTCCCTTGTAGTGTTCAGACTGCCAGACAGTGGTCAGGCCCTCTGTCGTCAGCAAGCTGTGTGATCCTGGCCAACCACCCAGCCTCTCTGGACTTTGGTTTTCTCGTCTAGTCTAGTGAGGTGGTGATCCTTGCGGTGCTGGGATTAGTAGGACCCATCTCAGAGTCTCCTCAGGCTTTGGAAGATGAATTTTCAGAGGTTGAGAAATAAACCACCCATTCATGACATTTATAATACATTGGAAATTTTGAACACTGACTGGATAATTGTTGCTATAAAGGAATTATTAACCTTTTTGTGTGTGATAATGGTGTTTAAAAGTTTGAAACAATATCCCCGTTCTATTTTCGGGTTCCATACTGCAATCTTTGTGGATAGAATGAATTTAAAAAGAAAGGCAGTGTGAGCACCAGCTAGACGTCTCTGAGGTTTGTGCAAGCACGAATGTTTTGTTTCTGGCACTGATGGTGCTTACTGCAAATTTCCTTCATGGAGCTGAACTGCGGTGTGGTCCTGAGAGCTGAAGGGGGAGTGGGGACCGAGACTGCTGTGCCTGCATCCGAGTCCTGAACGCATCCTTGCCTGTGGTCGCCAGGCTTTCTTCCTGCCTGGCCATTCCTTTGTGGCCACACTGTGGCCGTGGCAGCCCCTGGGCATTGTCAGGCATATTACTAACCAGGACAGAGGAAGCGTCTGTGCACAGCCTGTCTTTGGGCGGGGTGAGCACATGGGAGGTGCATCCTTTCCAGTTCTGATGGTCAGACCCTCCTCATTCCTCCTCTCCTGCCCCTCTGGCCTCCCCTCTTTACTGCTTTTCCAAAGGTGAAATCTAGAGAAGTGGGAGAACCTTGGTGAGAAAAGGCCGGCTCTCTCAACCTTGCTTCATTCTTCCTGAGCTGTAAGGCTCAGCAATTCAGGGCATCCTCCACAACACACAAAGCATGGTGAGACCTAAGAAAGGATTCGTCAGCACAAGTATGGAAAACTCAGTGATGTCACCCTTAACATTCACCTGGTTCCTTTTCCTGCATTTCCCTTGTCCTCATGTGTAGTAAGAGCTCATCTTTGTAGTTAAACAGTTATACTCTCGGTGCTTTATGCAGCTTGTCTCATTTAACCTCACAAGCGCCTGGGGGGCGGGGGTGCTGTCATCATAAGATGAGGAAAAGGAAGCTGAGAGAGCATAGTCCCTGGCCCTAGAAAGTGGTGGGGGTCTCTGAGTGCAGCGTCCATGCTGTGTGAACCATTGGCTGCTGGAACGCACGTCCTTGTGCACCCAGCTTTTTCCCTAATGAGAATCTCTGTGGCATAAATTCTCAGGCATGGGGTGAGGGGCCAGAGGATCTGAAGTGTTAACTGGCAAAGTTCTGACCCTTGTTCACTACCTCTCCTGCCATAGCGCCTGCCTCCAGCTCCCTGAAGACGCACGTGAAGGCCCTCCTTTGCCAAGATGAGATGGCTGCTGCAGTGAACCCTGGGCACATGTGCTGTCCCGCTGAGCTGTCCACTTGTCTGAAGATCCTTTAAGACACTCACTTTTGCCTCTGCCAGCTGTCTTTGGGGTTGGGCCTGTGGGTCCTGTGAAACTGTTAGGCTAAGTGACGTGGTGCCAGCAAGGGGAGCATCGTCCTCCAGCATCTCCAGGTCTGGTTCCCAGAACCCTGGCTCCTCAGCAGGCCGGGACATTGGAGGGTCACAGTAGCTGTGACTTGCCCCGGGCAGCAGTTCATGGAAGTTGGTGCTACCCGTGCCAAGTTGGGAGGAGACATCTTTGTGGCCTAGGGCTGTAGGGGTTCAGATTGCGAACCCTTTGCTGAGGGCCGGGTCACCCTGGCCCTCCACCTGGCTGGTCGATATTAAAGGGACTTGTTTTGGACGTTCTGCTGCCTTCACTGGGTAGCATGGGAGAGTGCTCCCCATGCCGCCTCCTCGTAGGAATCTGCTGTGACTGAGAATACCTAACAGATCCATGAGCGGGCAGAGCACACTGGGCTGTCCTCTCTCAGCCCCTTTGGCCACGTCCATGTGGAGAGCAGCAGTTGCTAAGAGATGGAAACAGGCCCCTTTTTTATCATGGGTTGGGCACTTCCTGTATGCAGAAAGCCTGCGGGTCCAGAAAGGTCGAAGACAACCAATGAACAGCAAATGAAGTAGCTTCAAGGATGAGTCAGTAAGTCCTGCTGCTGAAACGATTCAGGCTTGAGGCTTCGCCTCTAGGTCCTAAGGAGCTGCAGAGTCACCTGGAGATGAGAAGAATTTGCAAGGTCAGGGAGAAGAAAGCCCCACCCCCCAAATCTCTCCGCAGTGCTTGGAGGTGAAACAGCGATAACGAGCTAAGTTAACGCCTGGGCCTTCCCAGGAAGCCTCGGCGTTAAGACTACGAAGGCTGTGCTTCAGTGTTTCTGTTTCTCTCCCATGCATTTGCCTTCTTGCTCAGAGTGGGAGTATCACTGGCACTGACGCTCCTGTGCGGCACCCTTGCTCTTGGTGCCAGCCTGAGCCCGGGAGGAGCAAGTTCCTGGACAAGTAATCGCTGAAGATGGAGCTTGGAGTCCCTCCTCTCCTCACAGTACTTTTGTACAAAGGTAGTTTTAGATTTGGCTTAGAACCCGTTGTCCACAGCAGCCTCCCTTCCCTTCTGTACTCTAGAATCTTCCAGCTATGGTGATGAGTCAGGCACCCAGTAGGACTCTATTCAGTAGGGAGAGCCTGCAGCGTGCTATGGCCGGAACTGTGGTCCAGGGTCCTGACCCAAACCAGACAACCTGCATTCAATTCAGCAGTCACCCTTCCAGTCTGAGTGGCAGCCAGGAGGGGTGCACAGCGTGCAGGAGTCAGGGTAGACAGCTGGGCATGTGTATGATAGGAGTGGAGAGGGCATCTTAAACATCGTGCCCTCCCTCCCTCCCTGACTCCTGCCGCGCTGGTCTCTGGTGACTCATAGAATGGCGCAGTATTCTTGCATCAATTGGTAGGTAACTGCTTTCTGAAATTCAGGAGGCATTTAGTAAGTTTGAAGAAGATATGAAATCTGAAAGAGGCATCCATAGGTCAGGGGATTGATAAGTTTACAGGTCGAATAATAACGTACCACCAGGACCTGAAAATAGTGGGACTGTGTGAATATGTGAAGCTTTTAGGAATCATTGGGGACAGGCAGAGGGTCCTGAACAGCTATTTGTGCCCTAGGAGTGCCGCCTGGACAGCGCAGGCAGGGCTGCTCCTGAGAGATGCTGGCTTGGTGTGTGCTCGGGCCAGAGCAACAACTAACGCACCTTCCCGCTGTCACGCCAGTCCGAGTGCTTCCCACGGTGACTTCCTGAGGCTTGGGTTGCACACCCCGAAGAATGCCAGACTGGAGGAGGGGGTTATAAGGACATGATTCTTCACCTCAGAGGAAAGGCTAACGGGAGACGTCGTTGAAGTCCATTGAGTCAGGTTCCCCGTGTCTTCTGCAGCCACACCGCTTGAAATGAAAAGGAAGCTTTCTTCTACCCATCACCCAGCAGACCTGGTCTGTAGCCTCAGATGGGACACTGCTGGCCGAAACGTGGAAGGATCAAAAAGGCTTTGGGTAAATTCTTGGATGACAGGTGTATGTTGATGCCCTGTGGGAGAAGATGGAGGAAGACCTTCTGTCTGTTCTTGGGCCCCCCCCACCCCCCACAATAACAATCTTGGGCTGGATGGTTCCAGACTGAGCCCCTGTGACGGTTCTGTTCACATTAGTAAGAACAATTACAGAAATAAAAACAACTTTGCATCACTTCAGCTCGTTTTCAGTTGGCTGCTTGTGTTCTGGTACCTACCCAGAAAATAAAAGCTAAGGTATTATGGTAATGCCTGAGTTCACCTCATTGACGCCCAGTGCCCTGAGGTAGGTACTGTACTTCTCTTTTTAGAGGTGAGGAAACTGAGGCACAGAAAAGTCACACAGTAGGAAGTGCAGAAGCAGGACTAGAACCCAGGCAGTCCGCTGCCCATGTCTGTTCTACTCTGCACTTGCTGAGCTTCTGAGCTAGCAGACCAGAGTGGAGGTCAGCCCAGGAGGTGGGGAGATGGGCTTAGCCTTCATGTGACCCTCTTCGGTTTGTGTCCACCGTGCCTACAGTGATCGCTGCTGGCTCGGCAGGACTCTTGACTGGGCCTGACTCATAGGTGGGGTTCTTTGCCCTTGGTCCTGAGAAATTGAAATCCCTGTACACATCCTATACCTCCACCCCCTCCAATAAATAGTGAGGTGAATGAATGAATTCCACCCACCAGATTATTTGTAATCTTGTATTCAAGAGGACCTTCCCTCCGACCCTTAAATTCCAGGCCCCTATACTTGAATAGGCACCCTCTGTGGGTGGAAGCCATGGTGTGGTGGACCGCGTGGGTCCTGTCCAGTGGGCTCATCTGTCACCATCCGTGGTGGAGACTCAAGGTGTTCTTTCTCACCTGGGGGAGTCAGGTGAAGTGAGAGATGAGGACGAGGTGTTCAGGTGATAGCAGTCTTAAACTTCAGGAGTAGAGGGACAGGGCCGTAGCAAATTATGATGCAGAAAAGTCTTTGGTATCTTTAGCTCCCTTTTTTAATTTTTTATAATCCTCACTGGAGATACTTTTTCCATTGAATTTTCAGAGAGAGTGGAAGGGAGGGAGGGAGAGAGAGACATCGATGTGAGAGACACATGGATCACATGCGCCCCAGCCAGGGTCGGGGATTGAACCTGCAACCCATTTACGTGCCCTTGACTGGGAATGGAACCCTCAGTCAACCCTTCAGTGGTCAGACCAATGCTCTAACCATTGAGCAACCCGCAGTGCTTAGCTCTCTTTTTTTAAAGCATGTTAGGATTGGCGGTTGCAGGAAGCAGAAACCATTCACCACCCAAATGAGCTTGTAAAGGGAATCTTCTCCCAGGAGGCGCTCACAGACGGGACCTGACGGTCTCTGCTCCTGGCCTGTGGCCTCTGCTGCCGAGGGAGGGACCAGTGTGGTCCTGTCTCACAGGACTCAGCTGTGGAGCCCTTCGTGGATGGCGGGCCTCCTCGTCAGTTCCTGACGGCCGCAGCCCGCTGGCTGGTCTCACGCTTGCTGATTCCCCGTGGAGTCGCTCTGAGTTGTACCTGCGAGTGGAGTGGGACTTTCCGGCACTCACTGTGCTCCCTTCAGTTCTGTCCGTGTTTGGGCCACGAGCTGGCAGTGCTATCATCTGGTGCATGTGTACACGGTGAAGATGCCTGTGCCTTGTGGGTTGTCATTATGTAATGTCTCTACCTGCTAATTTTCTTGACCCTGCAGTTCATTTTATCTGACATTCTGATGTCAGCTCTGATGTCAATCTCTGTCCTTTAATTTGTGCGTTTAGGCTGTCTCCATTTAATGTAATTATACAGGGTGGGGCAGAGGTAGGTTTACAGTTGTGAGCACATAAAACACAATTATTCTTGTATTTTATTTAGTAATTATTTATTATTTTCCATACAAACTGTAGACCTCTTTCTGCCCCACCCTGTAGCTCTGTTGGGGCTTACGTCAGCCATTTTAGTTTTTGTTTTCTGTTTGCTTTTGTTTCTTTCCTGCCGTCAGGTGCCTAACTTGAACATTTTTTTAGAATGCCATTTTGATTTATCTGTAGTGTGTGTTTGCTTTTAATTCTCACCTGAGGAGTGAGGATATTTATTCCCTTGATTTTTAGAAAGAGTAGAAGGGAGGTGGAGAGAAATATCCATGTGAGAGAGACACATCAATTGGTTGCCTCCCACACACACCCCAACTGGGGATAGGGATCAAACCTGCAACCCAGGTACATGCCCTTGACGGTATCGAACCCGTGACCATCCAGTGCGCAGGCCGACACACTAAGCACTGAGGCATGCCGGCCAGGGCTCTCTCGTATTTCTGAGGGTCTGCTTGTTTAGACAGCTTTTAGTGGTTGCTCTGGATGTTGCACTAAGTGTATACACGAAACTTACCAGTCTCCTTACCACATTTACTAGTTTGCAATGTAGAAGCCTCCCCTCCCTTTCTGTTCCTTTACCCTCCCCCATTTCGGCTATAATTGTCTGTTGAGAAGCACATTCAACAGTGTTATACTTTTTGTTTCAAATGTAATTTAGAAAACTCAAGAGGAGAAGGAAAATCTATTGTGTTTACCCATATTTTTATTCTTTACAGTGTTCTTCCTTCCTTGATGTTCCAAGATTCCTGCTTTTATTACTTCCTCTCTGTTCAGAGAACTTCCTTTAGGCAGTCTTGTAGAGGTCAGCTGTCAATAAATGTTTTTAATTTTCTTTCATCTGGCAATGTCTTAATTCCCTTTTATTACTGACAGATGTCTTCACTGGATATACAGGGTGCCCCTCAAAATGTGCACACACACTTTGTGGGGGTTTTTTTGTTTGTTTGTTTTTTGTTTTTTGTGCACACACACTTTGAATAAATAAAGGCAGTGTTTATTAAAATACATTTCATTTTCAAAATTGAACTATCAGCTGTTAAAGTGTGTATACATTTTTGGGACACCCTGTATATAATTCTGGGTTGACCATTCTTTTCTTTTAGCACTTGAAAAATGTTATGCTACTTCCTTCGTTTCTAATGAGAAATCTGCTATCTCAATGAGAATAGAGGTTCTTAAGAGATGTTATCTAACCTAATTTAATCTAATCTGAGGGTAAGAAAATACTATATACTCAGACACGTAAACATACAAACAGGCCTTACAGCTTTGCCTCTAGAATTTCAACCATATGTGAAGAACACACAGAAAAACAAAACTCAGCTTTGAACATTTCAATGAGCCGTTTGTTCTCTTCCCAGCGGGTATGAAGGCTTAATTGATTTGCGCTCACAGTGCCCAAACAGAAGGACGAACTAGATGCTCCAGTCTTTTGCCAACAGCAGCACATCCCTTTGGTCACTCCCCCCATGGCTCCCTCGCCAATCCGTGTGTCCTGTCTGATTGGTGGCACCGAGGTCAGTCACGTGGCTGCTTGGGACAGCAAGGTTGTTTGCGAATATGATTTTTTCTAGCTGTTGCCTTGGGAAGATGGTTTATAATGTAAGAGAGGACCAAAGTGAAGGGCCCAAACGACTTGGAAGAATGTTGGGTGATAGCTAGACTCCCTGCACACTCCCTGGGTGTTCGTGATCACCTTCCCCGTTCCTCGCTGGTCAGTGGAAACCTCTTCGGGGGCAGGGGGCAGATCTCATCTCTCTCCCCCTCTCCCTCTTTTTTTTTTTTTTTTAATATATTTTATTGATTTTTTACAGAGAGGAAGGGAGAGGGATAGAGAGTTAGAAACACTGATGAGAGAAATGTCGATCAGCTGCCTCCTGCATACCTCCTACTGGGGATGTGCCCCCAACCAAGGTACATGCCCTTGACTGGAATTGAATCCGGGACCTTTCAGTCTGCAGGCCGACGCTCTATCCACTGAGCCACACCGGTCAGGGCTCTCCCTCTGTCTTAGACTCCAGGTCCCACTGTGTCTGCTGTGACTGCCGCCTGCCTCCTGTATAAGCATAAGCTTGACCAGGCCCAACAATGGGGCAAAGGAGCCTGCGAGGACTGCCTTGAACTCCCGCATTGTTTGCATACAGACCACGCTAGGCATTTTTTAAAATATATTTTTACTAGGGGCCCGGTGCACAAAATTCATGCACTGGGTGTGGGGACAGGGGGGAGTGTCCCTCAGCCCAGCCTGCCCCCTCTCACATACTGGGAGCCCTCAGGCGTTGACCCCCATCACCCTCCAATCGCAGGA